GGCACGTGGTTTTGACCAGTAGCCACATAGATTCCCACTGACCACCGGGCCTCTGCTAACTAGGCTTTGCAAGACAACCCGGGGCTTTTTCTACAACTTGACAAAGTCCCAGGTTCAGGATTCAGGATGGTACGGACGGTTCAAGGATGTGGGAGTGCGTGTGTTCGTGGAATTGGCGAGGTCTACGAGCTCGCCACCTTTCTCAAGGACCCAAAGAAGGCGGACAAGATCGAGGTTCTCCCAGTGAAGGAGCTGCTTGGCGCAATCAGTGCCTCCTGAGCCTCGATTAAAGAAATGGCTGAGATCGGCTGACCTGCGCGTTACGCTTTGAGGTCGCTGCCCTTGGTTATTTGCTCGATTTACGTCCTCTTCTTTGTGTTGATCCTGGAGATCGGTTATGGAACTGCTGACATAGACAACATAGACCACTCAGATCCAGCTGAACTGATCGTGGTTGTTGTGTTGGTGCTGACGGTGTTTTGCACCATGGTTCCATTACAGATGTATGTACATCTGGCCTTGATGCAGGAGTTGCAAGACTTGCCAAGTCAGATACATGATTTTAAGATCGAAGACTCTAAGTGCTCGTGCTGCGCGCTGGATCATGTAAATCCGCGGACGGGGGAGAACATCATGTGCGATAGAAAGCTCATCTTCGACATGCTTCAGATCTGGTTCGGCAACTCGCAGCCTGAAAAGCGCGCTTTGGGTAATTAGTTGGTAACTGATTTGAAGCTTGAACCCAGCCCGGAGAGTACTGGTACTTTCTTCGGAACCAAAGGGATCAAGGTAACCCGGAAGACTTGCTGAGCGAGGAGCCACCGCAGCTGGACGTCTTTGACAAGATGGTGCGAGAGAACCTTCGACTGAAGGTCCTTCGGAAGGTGGGCCATGGAGTGCCAGAAATGTCCTACGTTCTGGCCACCGTGTGCATGCCGACTATTCCGTTTCTTTCCTACGAGCTTCCCATGTACTTGACCTCAAGGAGCCTTGTGGATGACCCAGACGCGTACCTCTTTTACACATGGCATGCAGTCGCCTTTCTGTCAGGGCCTTTGGTTAGCATGTTTTGGTTTTGGGTCTGTGCCTTCCTCTGCCGCAGACTTCTATTTTTGACGAACCGATGTCCTGGAAGTGTGGTGGCCGCGCTGGTGCTGACTCCCCTCAGCTATTTGCTGGTATCTATTGCCGCGTGGTTCCCACTGTACGGTGTCATGACATATTACCGGGGAGTGAATGACCTCCACGTATACACGTTCCTGGGGGTCTTGCTTTTCACGCTGTACTTGTACTCTGGGCGCACTTGTTGCTGCCGCTCCCGGCAGAAAGAAGTCACGAAGACGCGCAGCATACCTTTGGAGGAGCTGCACACCTTCTCCATCTAGGATTATCTAGGAGCACAGGTAGTAGAGCCTTGCGAAGCTGTATAGCCATCTGATGTCGAGTTTGTTACATGTCAATGCAGTGGGTTGTTCTAGCAAGCTTGCAACAGCCCCAGCGCACAGATTGCAGAGTGCCGGTCAAGGCACATGGATTGAATCGGATGCTGTAACAGCGTTGCTCGGATCATCCGAGACTTTTTGCGTGCCGATTCCTTAGGAATCGTTTTTCCACGCTCGAACAGCAACATGTCCGCTTCACCCCAATTTTTGAAGAGGCAGAGAGCGCCTTCGGAGGGTTGATGGATCCCTTCCTGAAGGGCGGCTGAGAGCTGTGACGAGTCCCGCACGGTCGTCATGTGCTTGGGCACCCTACCTGCCGTAGTAGCTAGATCACTTCCTTGCAACCTGCCAGGGCATCATTCAGTTTAAGACGACAATGCCAGATATTTCGAGCAGAATAACGTCAACAATCCAGCAAAAGATCTTGTAGAATGGTTACGAATCCAATCTATGCAACATTCAAGTATATATAGGATCGTTCGTTCGTAAGTTCTTTGATTCAGGACTATGAGGCACAAAATTGGGAAATAAATGTTGAAAGAAAAACAAAATTGAACTAATGAGATAGTTACCAATTATGCTCTTCATAATGAAATCGAATATTTACTCAATAATTTATTCTTTCAAAACGTTATCCGCGCGCTTTCCCAGACCGGTCCTCTAAAATGTCTAGGATTTTTTGGAAGATCGGGCTTTACTAAAATGATAAACTTATGAGGCGTCTGCTTCTTCGTCGAGCGCACGGGCTATTTTCTTAATATTTCTGGATATTTCGTTTTTTTACAATAGCCATCCGTAAATCGCGCCATCGAAATGTCTGGGATATTTTGGAAGACCGATCTCGACTAAATATAAAATTGTCGTAGCTTTTATAGAAATTATCTGCTACTTAGCTAGGGATGGAAAATTTTCGTGGCGAGAGTTGAATATATCGATTTTCAGGATTGGTCTTGGTAAAATTCTTTAAATCCATTTTTTTCTCTATATGAGGGATTAGGGTTCGTGGCGCAGCGGCAGCGGCGGCGGTATTGATGATGATCGATATTCGGGGCGATATCAATAGAGGGCGGTCGGGAGCAGTGGTGCATGGCCGCGATGGCGATAAGCGAAGGGATAGGAATTATAGAAAGATGGTCGATACCTTAAGAGAAGAGCAATATATTTTGGGATCTATTTATTCCACGAATAATAAATAGAAATGAATCTTTTAGAAATTTAATTTTAGAAATAATAGAAATATAGGAGCCTAGATATTCGGGAGAAGAGGGGATCTAAAGGTCGATTGCGGCTCGTCGTGGCGGGCGATAGGGCGGGGAGGACGGTCATAAAATATGGCGAAAGCCGACGAATTGAAATTTAGATGCGATGATGTCGGAATGATAGAGATAATTATTATATCAATATAATCGTATTGATACTTATATTCTTTATTATATTATTTATTGCGGTTATCGTATATTATTATTCGATAGGAGCGATGAATTCTTTCTATTGTTCGATAATAAGACGCAATTATTTGAGATTTCATTTTCTAATTCTTGCTAATATGATTCGAATATGTGGATTTATTTCATTTGGAGATCTTATTTTTCTAGTTATTTTTTTGGAATGTCAAATATTGAATTTTTTTGGGAAAATATTCATTTGAGAAAGATTATTGAATATATTATGATTTCTGAATTTCACGGTCTTCTTTTTTCTCGTTTCTTATTCATCTTATGATATGTCGTTTATTTCTCTGATATTGATGATATATTGATTTGATTATATGATATTTGATTGCTAGTAAATTTATTTCATTTTAGTATAATTCGATTATTGGATGATCTTAAAATATTCGATATGATATTCCGATTAATAGGGATGATTTGGATTTCTATAATATAGATGATATCGAATATTATATATTTTCAATATATATTTCATAAATTTAGGAATTCTTGAATTTTATGAAATATATTCAATATTCTCTTTAGAAAATTGAAAATATATATTAATGAAATTGATTATTAGACGGTCTATTCATATATATATATATTTCTATAATTTTATATAGGAATAGGAAAAAGATTTTCTATATTTATAGCTTATATTTCGATGAAATTATATGATGAATTCTTTTTAATATTAAATTTATTATTGATAAATCTAAGTTTGCTAATATTTGAAATTCTAAAAGATAATATAAATTATGATTCGAATTTTCTGAATTAGGAATGGAATTTTATTACGATTCTTAGAGATTAATGATTTCTTTGAATTTCGTAATATTGATATATAATATTCTAGAAATAGATGATAACGATAAGGTCCTAATACGAGAAAATCTACTAAGATCTTAATTCGAAATAATATCTAATTAAATCTTAATTTCTCTAATTCGAAATATTTTATATTAAGATTCTTTTTGAAATGAATTCTAATCAGAATCTTATATCGAATTATTTTTTATATATCTTATTTTGGAATTATATCCAATAAGAAAATCTTGTAAATAGGATTTAATCAGATTTATATATAATGATATTAGGAGGTTGTCATCTATTGAAATAAAAAAATATATACTAAGAGAAGATGATACGGCGAAACGAAATTGGGGAATGAAATGTACGGGATATTGGGCGAGTCTGAGGATATCATTATATATCCGGATTTTTTTATATATGATGATTGCGATGAATATGATGGTTAATAATCTATCTATAAAAACGGAGAATTTGAAAGACGAGGGACAAATAGCGTCGTTATTAAAAACGAGAGAATTTGAAGGATCAGGGGTACGCAATCTAATTATAAAAACGACTAATTTGAAATTCAAGGAGCTTGATAGGAGGAATTTGCAATATGAATACGAAGAATTTTTTTAATCATTTTATGATATATGATCAATATCTCATTCTTGATATGATCGTTCGTCTAGATCTGAATATACTAAAATTGAATCTCGGATAATATATCCAATTCGCGCCCTGCGACGAAATTTATTCCGTCTCATAATAGGCGTAGATGCCGGGGAATAGCCGTTCGACCAAGAAAATCCTATTTTATCTTCCTTATTATATCGTTTCTGCATTATTAAATTATCTTTCTTCTTCGAGATCTATTTCGTGATCTCAATGAATTGGATATCAATCAAATCCATTATAGGTCCCCAGGCTAGCAACGATAGAAAAAGATTATTATTTTCTCGAGCAAGAAGATCAATCAAACCAATGAATTATCAATTGCAAGTATTCATCCTAGCAAACACAGCAAAGGACGGTCTCGAGAGCAGGCATCTGAATCTGCGCGCCTGTTGGGCGCCAGCGCGAGCAGCAGCTTCTCTTTTCCTTCGAGAATGGATAGGCGATCCCAAAATTCAGCGGGGCCAGCTCCCGATCATTAGGTCGTATCGCCAGAAGAGCCCCCCAGATAAATCCCTCATGATATTTGCTGCCAATCTGTCGCAGTTCCCCATCCCGGATTGCATGTTGCCAAATTGAACGCCCGACAGGACTCTTCGCAGAGAAAGCTTTCCAGAGATCGCACTTGCAGTGGACCAAAAAAAATGACAGAATGATGCACCGACAACTCACAATGACATTCCCACTCTCTGAGCAATCTCTGACAGTCCCAAATAGCCTCCTTCAGCTGGGCCACAGCCGCCCCGAAGGCACGATTCCCCAGTAGAGCGCCAAGAAGATATGCGCAGGAGATAGGGAATTCCGACCGTCCTGAATCTGAACAAATGGATGATGAAGTAGGGTCTTGTTAATGAACACTTCGAAGCTGAGAAGTTTCATATGGATTCTATCATATGCTATTGGAAAAAGTTCAGAATTTTATCGCTCCAAATTGTCAATGTTGAACGTTTTTTCGAAACCCAATAGGACATGGCAAAATAAGTTTTTCGAAAGATTTCGATGCTCAAGCATATATGTTTTGCCAATGAAAGAATGAAGGTTG